TTTTTGCATTCCCATAATTAGTTGTGAATCAATCTGTTATCTTTGGCTATTAATATTCAAATTTCATTTTATTGAAGCGTCTATTTAGTTAAAATTTTCTTTATTTTTTACTATATACAGGACGTATAGTCGCCCTATCTCACTTCCTCCATTTCAATTTCTTTCATTTATATATATTGTTTCATTCTCTTTTTGTCAGTCTCTCTTTCTCTCTGGCTCTCCATCTGTTTCTATTTCTTTCATTTTCTTTGTGTCTCTCTCCTTATCTGTCTTCTCATCTACCTTTTCTCCTTTTTCTTTCCCCATTTCTCAGTCTTTCTCCTGATTTATCTTCCTATATTTATTTCCATGTCTGCCTTTCTGCAGCTTTCTTAAACGTTTTACTGGCATGCCAACAAAAGCACAATTATACTAGGCTTGCCTTTAGAAGCACTCCACAACCAATTGGTCAAAAGAGCTCATATTTTTTCTGTCTATCTATAAGAAAGGCAAATGCCTTTCCTGAATCACATTTTAAATGAACAACATATAAATAAAAGTCTCTCTTTCGGAAGAGTAAATCAAAATGCAAGAAAAAACCTTGACACAACCTCCTAATAAACATATCAAAATTATGTTCATTTAGTTTTTCCCTTATGTTTTCATTTATTCGTGTGCATATTTTACTGTTCCTGAAGTTTATTATACAGAACAAAAAACGACTAACTGGCTCTTGTCTTAGTCCATCAAAACACGATTTTTGTCACGTCGCATATAAAGTGAATAATTCAGGCATAAATTCATTATCGAAAAGACAAGGCAGTCAGACAGATTTTTAATTATAATCATCATTCATGTTGGCCAACTAGAAGGGGTTGCACGATAGAGAAGCAGACGACACTCCTGTACATAAATTTCACACACTCGAATCCATTTCCTGCTCATTATCATATACCTATATGCCACATATATAGCCAGTTTTATACAATCTGCAAAGTTAGATGAGCATGCGCTGTACGCACAGCAGACAGACTGAGGGACAGGCAGACGGACCTCTTCTCCTGGGCTCCACATGAGTCCCAACCTATCTGCGAGTTTCCTCATCTGCTGCGTTGTCCAAGAAACCCACTCAATTTGGGTTTGGCTTTGGTTTTGGTTTCGGGTTTTGCGGGTCGAGTGGGCGAATCGTCTTGCCTTGCTGCGCTGCTGCTGCTCGTCTCGGTTGCCCCTTTGGACGCCAAAGGTTCGGGTTCAGCTCCTCCCTGGAGATCTCTGCAGGCAATCAGGCTGTCACAGACGCTAATTTCAATTATCTCGAGTGTGTGCGTACGAGTAATTTGTTGACTTTTGAGTGCCGCTGCCAAAATGTGCGCAAATTTAGCCAAAAGCCCGCACAGAGCAGGCCCTAAATCCACTAAATAATAAATAAATGCGGAAACATCGTCTTGAATCAGTCGTTAGGTAGTGCGATTAAGCAATTGAAAAGGAAAGGGCTTTCAAAATAAATAAGCCATGTAAGAGGACAATGTAAAGAATGAAGTTCAAATTTATATTTGTCAAAAAAAAAAAAAAAAAACATTGTGAAAATTTAAAAAAATTAAAAAATTATATAAAAATGAATTTTAAAAATACATACTTAACGAAGTAATCAAAAAAAAAAATTTTAACTAAACATTTTAAAATACAAAAAATATTTAAATATTTAATAAAAAATGCAAACTAATTAAAAAAGAATTTTAAAAAATATTGTATAGGAATATATACATTACATAATATTAAATTTGTATATTAATAATTATATCTCTAAAAAAATTATTAAAAATATTGTATAGGAATATATATATAATTACATAATTATTAAAATTATTACATAATAATATTAAATTTTTATATTATTAATAACTTTAAATATATATAAAATATTAATTTAAAAGCAGAATAAACCAAGTGATTTATTTTTTATTATTATAAGAATATAATAAGTATAAAATAGACTAAAATTTTAATAAGACCTAAAACGAAATTATTTATTTAATTTGGCTTTTATTTATAAGACGCTTAGTCTAAGCCTGATAAGGCTGGCATATTCCAGGCAAACATAAGAATGTCCTCATTATCAAACCTGGCCAAACTTTGCTTTTATGTTCTGTGAAAATTATACTAATTACCCGGCTAAAATTAGCTTTTATATCTAATGAAATCAGCCCTTAGCCTTTATTTATTATTTATAAATATTATTCTCGATTATCTGAAATGAAAACAAAGACCACGCGCAGCTGCTCTTAGCGCCATTTGAGCCCATTTGATTGGCAGACGAAGGCAAATTAATTACGAAAAGTAAACGCCAGGCTAAATAAACATTTATATATATATATATATCTATATTCAACTAAAGTGTAAGAATGAACTTTGGCTGACAATCAAAATGTCATTTCAATTCGTAAGCTAAGCAAATCCGCAATTGAGACGCAACTTACATGTCATTAACAAGGGCTTAGGGCAGCAGACAGAGTAGAGAGAGAGAGAAAGAGAGAGGGAGAGAGTAAGCGACAGTCACTCAACAACAATGTGACAAGTTGCGACTTTGACAAACATTTAAATCGTCTCTCAAGCCAACAAAATATTTTACCAACAGCGAGCACTGAGCAAGCGTCGTTGCCAAAGTTCAGGCAGGGCGCTAAATGAAGTGTGACAACAGCGCTGTTGAGCTGCAAAGCGGAGTATTAATTCAGAGTTAAGGTAGGCCAATGTTTAGATATTGAACGTTGCCAAATTTCAGCTTTGCGAAATGTTGTTGGCGCCTTTTTTAAATAGCAATATAAAAATGTTAACGAACTGCTAAATTTTATAGTACTATGCAGCTTGAAGTGAGGCACAAGTGCAGACTTTTTTAATATATTTTTTTTACTTTTCATTGGAGCCTAAATTGATGACGTCCGGCTACACTGAAAGAGTGGAAGTTCTTAAGCAAATAGACGCTATGTTGCCAAACTGCAGCCCTATTAAATGTGGCAACAGCGCATCACTTTGTATATATCAATTCACTTGACGATTTAGCAATATTTTCGTCCAATGCCTATATGAAATTTATATATAATTCTTTTACACTTGATTAAAGAACGAACAATTTGACTGAGCCCCACAGCGTTATCAATTTTCAGCGCTTTTTTGAAGTGCGGCAACAGCGCATTATTCAAATAGTTGAGCTCAATTTCATTTGCATGCAACGTTGTCCGCTTGCAGCGCATTGTGAAGTGCGGCAACGGCGCAACGGGCCGCTGTAAATTGGCCAATTATCGGCATTTGAAATATGTTTTACCTGAAACGTTTGCATTCGATGCACTCGCTCTACCTGCGCCACGGCAGGCTACGTGCATTGTACGCACTTGTGACCTTTTACGGGCAAAGACAATGCACATTGTTGTTGCCACAGCACCTGCCCCCTGCCTACGTCTACGTCTACCGCTGGCCATGCCGCATACCTGCCCGGACCTGAATGCACGCACAATTTTCTATATAAAAGATACACACCTTTATTTTACACTTTTGGTAAATGTATCTGTAGCTCGGACTGAGCTGCATTAATGAACTGAGTTCACACTCCAGAAAAGTAGTGGAAGAGGGGGAGAGAGGCAGGTTATTCAGTTATTGATTATTTTACTAACGTTTGGGAAATTAGGCAGCGATTTATAAAAAGCCTCGTTTTTTTGTGGGTTAGGGTTTGGGTTATGCACTTTGATAAATTAATACAATATCTATGTCCATTCAATTGCTTTTGGAAATTCATTAGCGGCTTCTAACGGACGCCGATATAAAAATAATACGAAGCTCCTCCTCCCTCTCTTGATATCTAAAAACCTAAAATTCTGTTGTGAAATGACTTCAAAATTTACTTTTTATTGCACTTTGGAAATGGATGAGCTAACAGCTGGAGAGCGAGTGCGGCACTCGTTCAGATTAGATAGCGAATGGTCAACATTAAGAACTCAGTTCGACTTTTGAATAGAGCTCTTCAGATGTGCGAACAACTGGAGAATCCAACAAAAGAATACAAAATAACGAGCACAAGATTTTTGTTTGTTCGAAGCTTTACGAATGCACAATCCAACACCTTAATAAGATATGGAAAGAGCCGATAAATTGTAGTTAAATTGAGAATTGAGAGAAAATATAAAATAAATTTGAAGATGGAGTTAAAATAAATTTAAAAATATTTATTTACAACTGAAATTTTATAATGATAATGAAAATATATTGATTTATATATTTCTCATATTAATAAAATATAAAATAAAGTCAAAATTATTTAATATATATTATTAATTTTAAAATGCGAATTCCAAACGCAAAACAAAATTACTTAGCTTAAAATTAAAAAAGTAATAAAAATAGTTTTTAGAAGTTTCAATGTAGAAAAAAGAATTAAGATTATTTAATAGAAAATTAATTACCCAGAAATAAAGGTGAAATTGTTGAATGAAGAGAAAATGTCGGATGTCGGATATCTGCTTTAGATTTTCATAAAAATACATACCTATTTTTAAAATTATTAAATAGCTATATATCAAGCAACAAATAATTGCCTAGCTAATTAAAAAAAATTACTAGAGCATGTTCGTGATTTTTAGCGTATTATCTTTTATGACAGCTATAAAAAAATAAAGACAAAAGCGACATAAAGACAAACGCTATATATAGACACATATATAGACATGTTCGCTCATAATAAAAATTAGATTTATTTAAATATTCAACACAATTAATTGCAAAGCAAAAGGCAAATGTTGCCATTAAACACGTTTGGCAACATTAGAATGTTGCTAAGCGGAGCGGTGGAACGAAACGGCAATGCGAAACAAAACAAAGCAAACTGCTGCAAATGTAAACAAAGCGCATGTAAAGCCAAACAGTTAACATCCACAGCATGCAACAAGTTTAATAGCAACAAGAGCACGAACAACAACAAGCGAGTCATTTAACAGAGCACACACACGCACACAATCGCACACAGTTGAGGGAGTAAGCCGCGCTGTTAACAGTGCCAGTCGAGGAGTTGTGGATTGTGTGTGGAACGTGCGCTGCTCGCTTAACAGGCCCAAACGCTGAACATGTTGCTAGAAGCATTCAATTTGCTGCTGGTACTCGGGCGCTTCGGTTGTGCGAGCGGTTTCGTGCGTTCCCTTACGTTACGTTGCGGTTACGTTCGTTTCGTCGAATTTCGCATGTTAAACGGAAATTTTGTAGTTCGTATGTCGGCAGCGCGAATTGTCGTGCGTTACGGTCGAATGTCATTGGCTGCACGCGGTTTCCGGTTTCCGGCTCGTAGCGCCATGGCATAGAATAAACCCAAACGAGTGAAATATAAGTGAAAAATCGAGTAAAGTGAAACGACAAAAAAATCTAAAGAAAAAGTGAAATTAAGAGAAAAACAAAAAAAAAATAGAAAATCTTGACAAAATGCATTCGAATGAAATGTGTGCTCACGCATTTGGCTTACAAAATAAAAATAAAATCAAAAAGATCAAACAGGCAGAGGAAAATAGAAACAATCAAAATGTCGCCACAACGTCGCCGACGCATCTAAAATTAGAGAGCGAAAAGATGCGTCAGTTTGTTGCATTGTTGCAACTGCTGCAACCGCTGCTGCTCGTTTTGGCTGGATTAAATGGATTAACACTAGTTGCCGCACTCAAGGGTAAGTTTTCAGCTGCAACATTATGCATATTGCAACATTTCTCCGCTTTCTGTTTGAAGGCCAATCCTGGCCTTCATTTCCGGCCATTTGCTCAAATCCTTTGTGGAAGTGCAGCACCATATTGCCCTCTCCCTCGCTCCTTTATTTATTAGCGTCGTTTGTTTAGTTTCCATTTGGCTATTTTTGGCTATAGCCAGATTGCAGCGGCAAATTAAGGCAACGCGGTTTTATTTATGCGGCGCGTTTGCTAATGGATTTTAATGCCGCTTTATAGACACGACATCATCGCACATTATTCAAAAATATAGCTAGACAGACATAAAGAGAAACATATTGTACGCATGTATATATGTACATAAAAGCATTTACCGACGGCTGCAGCTCATAGCCATTTTTGTAGAAATTATAGAGAAACTTATGAAAAAATTTGGAAATTCAGGAAGATTGGCTAAAGAACTTGCTTTCAAGAATATATAAAAAATATGTCATACATGTATTAATATGAAATTATAGGTATGAATAGGTTGCCTCTGAAAAAACTTCTTTGTTAGGCGAATAAAATTCTTAGTCATTTGTTTATAATTATTTAAAAAATATATATTTTATATACTATATATTATGATATGCATATGACATAAAATATATTTCATAAATATATAAATCAATATATTATGTTACTAAAGGAACATTAGTTTAACTTGTTTTAATATAAAAAAATAAAATATATTTTAAGATAATAAAAAAAGTATACAAAATTCAAAAATGTTCTGCATAAGAATATTCAATTAATCATGTGATTTTAACAATATTAATTTTTTATAAGACAGTTCATCTATCTATTATGTCCACAGCGCATAGACAACTGTGAGCTATGGCTAAGATAATTGTGCAACCAAACAATGGCCTGAAATACTAGTTGAAGTATAGAATTAGTGCTAATGCTAATTATATATATGTAAAATTATATATTAGCTAAAAATCTATTTCATATAAAGCAAAAGCTTTTAAATTCCCGTTTGATCCATCATAATACTGCCCACAACTGTATCCACTCTTAGGAAATTTCCTTCTTTTTCTTGCTCATCGTCGCTGACTCAACACGTTTCTATATACCAGCACCATGTCCCTTGTCATCTGTTTGATATTATGGCTTTCGCTTAGGCCCATATACATTCAATATCTAAATATTCTGAAGCTGCAACAATTTCCATTACACAAAACATTTGTTTATAAAGCTGCGGCGCGTTATTTCAGCTTTTTGGTAGGCAATTAAATTGTCCCACAATAATCATGAAACCGATTGCGTTGCCTTAGATTCCGTTTTCTTGGCCAATTACATCAAAAGCCAAACATACTTAATAAAAAAATACAAAAAGAAAACACCGAAGCTAGAGAAATAAGCAAATACAAAACGAAAACAGTTTTTGAGGTCTTTGTGTGGTTTTTGCGGTTAGTTTTTGACTTTACGAAATATCAAATACTCAAATACATAGAGCCTCAGACACACATTGTATATACGTATATATATATAGAGAGAGTTAAAGACAAAGTCGATTATTTTGCTAGACTTTGTCTTCATTTGTTGCGGTTGGCTACGAAAAGACACAATGCGCTGCTTCACATGTGCTTTTCATTAATGGAAAAACGTGGAAATTGTTAAGGGAAAAAATATGAAAATTTTTGCTTTGAGACATTTTCGAATTTAGCAGCTAATTAAGGGTTTCCAAAAAAAAAAATATTTCTATAATGATCTAAATTATAATAAAATACAAATTTAAAGAAGAGCAAAAATTGCAAGTGAAGAACAGATGGGCATAAAATATTATATAAAATATAATATATAAAAAAAATTGCAAAAATATATTTCTATACTATTAGCTCAATAGCAAATGAACATTGTGAAAACAAATAAAAAAAAAATAATTATTTAAATAATATAATATATATAAAAATACATATTAAATAATATGTGAACTGAAATACTAAATATAAGTAACAAAAGAATATATAAAAATATATAATATGGTAAATGCGTATATTTTCCTTAGATAAAGTGAAAGAATTTTAATGCAGACGTATATTAAAATAATTAATATTAATAATAAAAATAATGAAAATAAAAATATTAATTTGAGGCTAATTAAAAATTAAATAAATATTTCAATTATAAATTATTTTATCTGTAAATTATGTTTTTCTTTCGTTCGACATATCAAGAGCTTTAAAACTGTAAATTTATTACATAATAAATATAATATTTTCAAAATATGCTATAACATAATCAATCATTTGAATTGATCTGATAATCAGCTAATTAGCTTAGGCAATTTTTTATTTATAAATCTAATCTCTATACAGATGTCTTTTAAATGTTATTTAAATGTCAGAAAAGAGCTTGATCCAGTTTACATTTGACTTCAATGCGAAGTTTTTTTTTTATAAATTCCATAAATCAAAATAAATTTCGAGATAAACAAATTCCGTATAGAACTGGATCTGCGTGTGCCAGGGGCAAGTCGCCTGAGGTCATGTACGCTATCTTACGCCCGTTTAAAGTTCGCTGCATTAAGTGAGATAATGCCAATAAAGCTTAGCGAAATGGTCACCCTTAACCCGAACAGAATCGGTTAGCTGCAAAAAAATGCTGCAACGTGTAATCTAATGCTTATTAAACGCTTTTTAATGCAACAAGCGGCCAGCGGCACGCAACGCCAGCGCCCGATGTCGATTGCCAGATATATATATATATATACATATATACATAGATATATAACACGATTCAACACGCAGCAGTTGAGGCTGCCACTGATGAGCTGTGTGGCTGGCCATGTGGCAAGTGTTGCACGCGACGTTGATAATAAATTGTATAAAATTATCTCTCGCACACGTCACACGGCACACCGAAGGGGTGAAAGGGAAGGAAAGGGGCGGTTGCTTGTTGGCGTGGCTCAGTGTCCGATTGAGAGCTGGTGGTGGGTCAATCGCTGGCTGCTTGTGCAGCACTAGCAACACTTACGAAAAAGCCGAATCAGAGCGGGTCATAAAAATTATCTGCTGCTAAACGCCCTCAACATGTGACAAAGCAAAGAGGGGGGGAGTGTGGGAAAGAGTGAGCGAGAGAGCAAGAGCCAAAGCAGACTGCTCCGTAATGTTACTCTGGGGAGCGTTTGGCCCAGCTAACTGCAATTTTTAAAGAAAAAAACGCAGCTAGACTAGAGAAGGAGAGAGAGAGAAAGAAGCAGAGAAGGCAAAACTTTGTCTCGCGGGAATTTCTTCAACAATTTTGTTTTATTGCCTAGTTCAGATTTTGGCAGAAAGAAAGAGATCGAGCGAGAGGCAGGAGAGTGTAAAAAAGTGTTACAATTGCAGTGGCTCAATTTTTGTTTTGCGAACGTTTCAGGCCGTTGGCGCTTTTGTAATTTTGCAAAGTGGCTCGTTTTGTAGCACAGTGTAAAAGCTAAGCAAGAAAAAAGAGAGAGGCCCAGGAATTCGGTTACTCTAGGCAACTCATGTGCATTATGCGAAATTGGGCTAAGTAGCAGTTCGGCTAGCCTATGCAGTTCCTTTTTTTTTGGGTCGTGGGCTGTGTGGGCGTGGCTGATAGAGAGTTCAAACTGTGCGAGACATGTAAATGAAGTCAAGTGCTGCGGCAACATGTTATTTTAACAATCACATGATTGGCGAACTGAACTGCAAAGATACTTCCAGCTTGTGAGGCTGCAAGCCCTTCAGCTATAGAAATTAGGTTGCATAAAGGTCTAACTGGGTAAAGCCCACAGAGAAACCAGCTATAAAATCATATTTCTTACTCAAGATCTATGAGAGTTTCATTAGAACATTTGACATGAAAATTGTTTTGGGATTTCTTATATGAGCAATCTTTAACTATGCGAACTCAGCTTCTATTTAGTATTATCTATTGAAATTTGGTACCCAGTCTTTTGGTTGTGTGCATATTGAAAAAAAATCTTAAGTGGTAACTTTGCATCATTGATAGCTCTTATATCAGGTAATCTCTATATGCTCAAGACCCGTACCTAATTGAGCTAAGCTGAAATTTCATTGCTACATTTTCAAATGCTCTCTAAGCTGTTATACAACAGTATTTTAGCAGTAATATAACTCACATAGGCTATAATAAGTTTTGCTGTCCATCTGAACCTGGCTCTTACTGCACATATCATGCTGAAATTTCATCTCTACTCTTATAATTATAGCTGCTGTCTTATAAAACCATAAGTTGTGGTTTAGCTTGAATACTACTTCATTTAACTGTCCCTATATCATTTGCTGTCTGTGAACTTGCTTGCTTTGGTAGTTATCAAGCTGAAATTTGATATACAATGCTATGCAATAACTTACTCATGCTTAAAAGCTTGGATATTATATCTTAAGCTGAGTCTGTGCTATTTCCCAACAAATTCTTAACTATGCAAATCATATATGTAACTCGCTCTTATTATTATGACAAACTATTTTTATGTAACTCAATTTTAGACTTCGTTTTATGCGTGAGATAATTAATATTTTGTGCTAGTTTTTTTTTTTTAATTAAGCGCTTGCATTTTTTGTGTCCAGTCAGCTGAGTTATTTGATCTGCCATGGGCAGCTCTTTCCAGCTAAATAATAATTAATTATGAAAAACCAACTAGCGAACAGGCTGAGTCTCAATTTAAGCCTTCTCCCCGGCTGCTCTGCTGCGAGTCGTTCGTTGTCGAGTCTGAGGCTTAGACAAGCGCCAAGTTTTGCCTACGCAAATACGCAGAGTTTTGCTTCCTGGACATGGACGTGATTCTGGACATAAACTTGCAAGCCACACTCTATACAGATGTGTGTGTGTGTGTGTGCGCGCAACGAGTCGCCTTTTGTAGTTGATGTTGCTTTACATAGCCGTGGGTTTTCTTTCATGTCTTCCCATTTTAGCTCGCTCTGCGCGATATTAAAAAAAATATAAAAATGAGTTGAAAAAATTAAGCCTGGCAGCCGCGTTAAATGCAAAC